AACAGCGTAAAGGGAATCGAAAATTTAATATTGTCCGTCCAAAAGAACAGTGAAGATCAAAATCTGTTCTTGAATTTAAAGAAAACGAAAATAATGTCCACAGATAAAACTGGCTGTCACCCAAAAATAACAATAAATAATGAAGAAATTTAAAATGTCACAAACTTTGAATATCTAGGATCTATAATAAACAGCAATGGAGATTGTTCAACATAAATTAAAACGAGGATGGCCTTGGCAATGCAAAGATTGAAAAGCCTTAAAAGTCTATGGTTAAGCACCAGCAAGGAGATCAAAATTAGAATTTTGAGAGCATGCATCTTCCCTGTGGCTACATACGGATGTGAGTCGTGGACTATCTCTCAGTCGTTAAGAAAGAGAATAGGGGCTTTTGAGCTGAAATGCTATAGAAAGATTCTCAGAATATCTTGGACAAAGAAGAGGAGAAATATTGACGTCTTAATAGATCTGAACATCAAGGAAGATTGGCTAATAACATCCTTTCTCGGAAGCTGAAATATTTTGGTCATTGCAAGCGCCATAACGGATTGGAAAAAACTATAGCAGAAGGCACTGTACCAGGAAGAAGGGGCAGGGGCCGACCGACACGAAGATGGGCACATGATATAAGTGACTCCTTGAGTGTGAAAGTGCATAAGGCGGGAGAACTGGCGAGAGACCGAGTTTCTTTCAGGCAGACTGTAATGAGAGCGACGTTCTGCAAAGGACCTGCTACATGATGATAAGCTAAGTAAAGTATGTGTTGGAGTTACAGATATTTTAGTAACATAACTAATTAAAGCACTTGTTGGAGCTGAAAATACTTTATTGATATAAATAAAGCGACTGTCGGAGTTACAAATATTTTACTAATAATATCAAAACCCGCGAGGGAGTTACAAATATTTTACTAATATTATTATAGCATGCGTTGTTTTGAAAAGTCGGCTCTGTGGCTAAGTCGATGCGAACGCTTCGTAGTGCCGGGATGTCAGGTTCGATCCCAGCTGCGGGCCATGCGCCTTGCGTTGGTTTTGACAGTGGTATCAAGAAAGCCGACCGTCCAGCAAGCAATGACAAACTACTAAACGTAAATTGCCTAGAAAAAACCACACAACAGCCAGGTGCTGTTGGTGTTGGTTCTGCAACGTCCTGTAAAGGATATGCAACAACCTTGTAGTGAAAAATATTTTACTAATATTACTAAAACACTTGCTGGGGTTACAACTGTTTTACTAATACAAATAAATCGCGTGTTGGAGTTACTAATATTTTACTAATAAGTTTAAAGCATGCGTTGTAGTGAAAAATATTTTACTATTTTACAAAAACACTTGTTAAGGTTACAAATGTTTTACTAATATAAATAAAGTGCGTGTTGGAATTATAAATATGTAACTGATATAAATAAAACACGTGTTGGAGCTACACATATTTTACTAATAAAAATCAAACATGTGTTACTGTTACAAATATTTATTAATTTTATCAAAGCTTGGGTTGTAGTGAAAACATTTTACAAATATAATCATAGCGCGTGTTGGAGTTGAAAGTAGCTTACTAATATTGTTGAAGCGTGTGCTGTAGTAGGAAAAATAGTTTACTAATATCTATTTCTTCTTTTTCTTTGTTCATCGGTTGTAAGCTCCGACGGAAAGCCCGCTTTGTGCCAGGGCCTGAGTTTTGCATTTACACCGGTTTTACTGGCTTATTTGTGTGCAGTCGGTTGTTCCTTGCCGCTTGGGCTGATGCACTCCGACTTCAAAGGAAGCTCCCAATAGTCGACTCCTACGACATGCTTGTTGGGGAGGCAGTGGTTCTATTCTGGTCCCCCCCCCCCTCCCCCAACAGTGGAGCCTAGAACCCACATGGGGAACTTATGTCTAATTGAAGCAATAGTAGACTTTTACCCCACTAGGAAATCACACAAGCGATAAACACCCGATGACACAAAGTGCCACCATGTGGATGAGGATCACCGTGGAGAGGTCCCAGAAACCGCGTTCAGCCAATTGGCCATATTTATGGCCTGGCTATATTGCGGCCCCTGGCAAAAGCCAGAGTAGGGCTTCAATTAACGAAAAATTCCATCTTAAGAAAGGATGGGAAATAATACCCAGTTAGCATGCTGAAAAGTGACAAATAGTTTACAAACATTGTTATAGTTTGAGTAGTTATGGGGACATATGATATTAATATGCGGTTAAAGCATGTTGAAAAGTGACAAATAGTTTACTAACATTGTTATAGTTTGAGTAGTTATGGGGACATATGATATTAATATGTGGTTAAAGCATGTTGAAAAGTGACAAATAGTTTACTAACATTGTTAAAGTATGAGTAGTTATGGGGACAAAAGTTATTAATATGTGGTTAAAGTATGTTGAAAAGTGACAAATAGTTTACTAACATTGTTAAAGTTTGAGTAGTTATGGGGACATATGTTATAAGAAGGGCTGAAGTGAAAACTAGCGTAACATGCTTCATATTTAAACATACTCGACTAAATGTGCGAAGAGCTGTTTGAGAAACATACTTGCTGGACTTGTTTTGAGTTAGTTACAACATTTCACTAAATGTCTCATAAAATATAACAGACATTTTACTAAAATTCTCATAAAATATAACAGACATTATACTAAATGTCTCATAAAATATAACAGACATTTTACGAAATGTCTTATAAAATATAACATACATTTTTCTAAATGTCTTATAAAATATAACAGACATTTTACTTAATGTCTCATAAAATATAACAGACATTTTTCTAAATGTCTCATAAAAAATAACAGACATTTTACTAAATGTCTCATAAAAAATAACAGACATTTTACTAAATGTCTCATAAAATATAACAGACATTTTACTGAATGTCTCATAAAATATAACAGACATTTTACTAAAATTCTCATAAAATATAACAGACATTATACTAAATGTCTCATAAAATATAACAGACATTTTTCTAAATGTCTCATAAAATATAAAAGACATTTTACCAAATATCTCATAAAATATAAAAGAAATTTTTCTAAATGTCTTATAAAA